AAAAAAAAAATAAATAAATAAAACAAAAGAAAAACATAAGCAAAGTGTCAAATAAAAAGAGTTTATATAATTTATTAATATCTATTCCTCTTTTTTAAAAACATTTTATAAATGACTATTTTCTCAAAACAATGATTTTCCAAAAATCATTTTTTTAATACAAATGCTAACACGTAATTATTAAAGCATTTATTGTCTGTTGTTAAATATAGTTTGTATAGGTATTTAGTAGTAGTACTTTATAATTTTGATTGTTATATTTTTATTTAAATATTTAACAAGTATGTATGTTTACGATATTGTGTACAAATTTGAATGCTAAATTTTGTAGAACCTATTTTGTGTAGTTACTTTAAATTCTATTATCGCTGTTTTCGAAATTGTTGAAAATGGAAAAAATTTTTTTTTGGCGTACATTCGTACACTCATACACCCGTATACTCGATTACCTTAGCACGCTAAGGTAATCGAGTGTATGAGTGTACGAATGTACGCCAAAAAAAAAAATTATTTAAAATTATTTGCCATTTAACAATTTCAAAAACATTGATAAATAACGTTCTCTATTCTTATTAAATAATATTAAATACAGTAAATTCGTTTGCGTTGGAGTACCGTATTTCGCGTAATAACGCGCAGGGTGTAACCAAATTCGGGCCAAAATTCGAAATAACGCTCATGGGCGTTATTACGCAAAAATACGGTACGTATTAGTAATAATTAGGGTTGTAAAATTACCGTTACATAGTCTTCATAAGAAACGTGATCATACGCTACATGATTGGTTGGATCATATGTACATTGATTTGATCAGTGAACTTTATGCAGAATCCACTGTAATTCAATAATGCTAGCTGAGCTTTTCATAGCGCTGGTGCTATATATCACGTGTGAAATTTACCTGAAATCCATGTTACTGAAACTTGCTTGAAATTACATGTATAAAATGTAATTTTCAACCCTAGTAATAATCATCTCTGTGATCTTGAAATAGTTATTAATAAATGAGTATGCTTTAGTAGGCATTATAGATTCCCAAAATTCCAGCATAAATTGCTACAATATAATTCTTTAATAGAAAAGTTGTAATTATTATCGTTATATTGTACAATATATATAGTCACATAATAATGTAACTACAACACAAAATTCGATTTTTGTGAATAATTATGGTTGGTGAGATAATAGTTAGTAAACTGGTTGCGGGAAAACAAAATATATCAGTGAAGTGATTGTAAACATGTATGCTAAATTTTCAAAACTCAAAATACATTCAAAATACATTCAAAACAACAGTAAATAATACTATATCAAATGATTTTTTATTAATTGAATTATATAAAAAAAAAAAAATCAACTGTGGTAATATATTTTAAGACATAAGCATTATCACATTTCATAAATTGAAAAAAAAATTCATATAATCAAAAATATTTATGAAAGTTACAAATTATTTCTAACATTTCTAACAGTTATCTTTACAACCATCAACTCCACAGCTACTATTTTCACACTTACTATCCGAAGTGACATGCAACTTACTATGACTACTAGTACTAGAACTAGAACTATGTTCTTCTGAATAGTCATAACTCTTGTGTGTAGAACTGACTTTCACATAACTTGTACCGTGATGTGGGACAACCACCTTTACAGTCTTAATTGGCGTTGTTTTATAATTGAAGCCGTAACACTTATTAAAATCAACATGAACTTCGCCTTGATGAAAGCCAATGGCTTCATAAGGAACCAAATAACTGCCGATGTAGAGTGTACATTGTTTGACTGGAATATAACATGGGAAAATCAATATTCTATTTACCGTATAATAATAACCATCTCCACAGGTGCCGCCGCGTTGAAGAAGCTGAGGGGAATCGTTAGGTAGAGGACTTGCAAGTCCGGTGAGTACGAACCCAATAGAAATAATGCTCAATGTGACCAAGGTGACGAAAAAAAATGGTTTTGTGAGCATGGTGAAGATTAAAATTATTAAAAGAGAGCAGATGAATTTATGAATTTGGTGGTTGAGAAATTTGATTTTTTTTTGACTTAGTTTGACTTGGATACGAATGATGATGATGGTGATGTTAGAATTGAGGTTCTTTTATAGATTTCTCAGACATATTGGAATGATTTAATGTTTAACAAATCCTTGACATTTGCTTCTGTTTCTTTTGTTCTCAAAATAGTTCATGACATTTCATAATTATTAAACTTCGTAAACGTGTATCGTTAGGTGGAAATTTATCAGGAGTTAATTTTGTCTTTGTTATCAATGCACAATATATAATTTTGAGTCCATTTAACGATACTGATTATATATTAAACATTAATGTTAATTTTTTTGAATTCCAAATTTAGAACTACACATACAATTGTTACTCTCATATGAGTGTTCTGCAAAATCCCGGTGGCGGATAATTGGCAATGGTTCACTACTTTTAGTATAGCATTAGGATAGCAGCAGGGAAATTAATTTATTAATTGGATTTTCCAGTACGTAGTAGTATTGTTAGCCGACTCATCATCGACTAATATCGCACTTAAGAACAATGAAATATGGGATGTATAAATGGTCTTACTCTAAATCAATTAATCATTAATTAATATTATGAAAGGGGTTAATTATA